TTTTTCCACTGCGAATTCTGTCTCCATTTATTTCTCATGTAGGCACTATTCATCCTGACTCCATTTACTTATCTAAATACATTGTGTGCTTACTAATATAGACAGCATGTTCTCTTTTTCTTAGCTCGAGAAGGAAAGCTTCATGCAATTCTTTGCCAGTCTAAATTATTCCATGACTTGCCTACATTTCAAATTAACTGGAGGAATATCAACAAACATGATGGCAATTCTTTTCCAATCCCATCTCCTTCAGTCAGTCTTTAACCCACTTATCAGACACTTGTTATTACAGAAATAATCAGGAGAGGAAAATCCACCACTGCTGAATCAACACTACTGTACTTCATTTCCCTTTTTTTCCCTTCTTTTGTACTCATGTAACTTCTTGGTTTCTGTTGGACATACACCAGCCTGAAATAGTAGAAACACAGCTGGCTAAATCCATCACATCTTATTACAGGTTATCAATTCTCCCATGCAATAAACACGTTTGACAATTAGCAGTGAATTGATGAGTGACTCAGTTTGGGCTTTGCCATATAGAGGAGACTCTTTCTTCACTGGTTTGTGATTAACAGAAAAGCTCACAATACAAGCTCAATCTTGTAGCAAATGCAAAAAGCTGGTAAAGCCATTACCTTTCCTTATAACTAAAATGACAAATGGTCTTTACATTAATCTCAAATAACTTCTTTAAAGCAGGGATCAGGAAAGAATTTTCCTCGAAAGGATATTGCTGCCCAAGTGGGGAGGTGCTTTCACGGGGCTTTCTCACCTTCTGTGGGATCCATAGGCTTGATAAAGCCATTGTTCTGATTTGCTTTGATGATTCTCTGCTTCTACAAGAGGTCAAATACTGCAAACTCTGCACAAACAGCAGACCAAACCACACCGTGACTCACCCCATACAGTTAACCTGTTAGGGGTAATGCTGCAATAACTCAGATTTAACTTGTTCAGTCCCATCTTACTGCAATTAAACTGGGATATTTGACCAGCTGGCTTGGTGCAATTTCAGCTCTTTATTTAAGGGAAAAATCTGCCTGTGCCAAGCACCATATCAATGCTCTGTAAAGCCTTAAAATAAGCACGGAAAGAGGTTTTTGAGGAACCTGTTCCTTCCCTCTCTGCTCCCCAGGGACAGAGTTTTCCGAAGTGTGCTATCAGGTACCAGATCCCTGCAGCATTCTTCCCATTAGACTTTATAGAGAGATGCATCAGCCTTGCTGTCTAAAATGGACATTTTTCAGGAAAAACACAAGGTATGCTCAGTGTAGTCTCAGAGCAGCACCCGGTTAGCTTTGATCTCTTCAATGTGCAAATAAAATGGGGCTGGTAAGGGAATGAAATCTCTTTCCTTTTCAATTGCTGCGTACATTAATGTGTTCTTGATCCCAAAATGATTCTCATTTGCTCATTGTAATCACAGTACTTCAGTTTTTCTCTTTGTTTGCATGTGTTTTGCTTGTTTGGGTGGTTTTTGTGGGTGATTTTTATAATCAAGAATTTTTTCTATTCATGCAACGTAAATATTTTCCTATTGACAAACTTGTCCTAACTTTGCTTTATAAGTGCATTTTTTCCTTCACTTTGTTTCCCCTACCCGGTGCAGAGATTTGCTCTGGCAGTGGAAATGAAGGGTGCCAAGGTGATGCTAAGGAAAGTAAAGATCAAACAGAGTAGTATAGGTCTAAGCAGCCCCATGAAAATGCCCCAGGCACATCCATTAGTGAGCAAAAGAGTTTTGTTTGGCAAACCCAAAAATCCCCCAAAACAAGTGGATTAGGGTTGAGGCTGGCTTTTTGGGTGGGTTTTTCCTGCCTTTACTCACTTTTTGGAAGAGATGCAGCTTAAGGCATTACAGTGATTTGCTGTTCACTGTATAACTGAGTGAGCTGCCGGATTAGTAATGCTGGTGCACCTCCTCGGTGGGCACAGAAGGTCATGTCTCATTGTGAAATACAGGATGGTGCTTTAGGATGTTGCTGTTAGAGGTGTCAAGAACTCACTGCCTCTGTTAATCAGTGCTGCATGCAAAGCCATGTGCTGACTCCTGAGACTTCAAGATACATTTCACACTCTAAGCATAAGATGCTCAATCCCTTGTTCCTGTGGTTAATGAGTTACTTATCCACATGAGTGTGTGTAAGCATGGTCCGTGGTTAGTGCAAGGTAATGATGTTCAGTACACAGTGAGACAGGCTTAAAACAAGATGTCTTGGTTTGCATTTGCCACAGATGTAGAAAACAAAGAAAAAGCCCATATGGAGATTTCCTACAGCTCAGCTGGTGTATGGTAACTTGTTAAATCTCAGTAACTTGAAATCTCTTCCTGGCAATCGAAATACAGCTCTCAGTGCTTTAGCAGAATACAATGGCTCTTCATAACAGTGATATTCCATAAAAGAATATGTCCAGGTTATATCATACAGGAAGTACGTAGGATGTAACAAAGAGTAGTGGGTGAAAAGCAGAGGTTCCCAAATCAATCTGTGTTGGGAAAATCATCCGCAGGTTCCAATAACTGTGTCAGCTGCATCGCTCGGGCTGCTTTTGTGTGCAGAATCATGCAGGAAATCCCAACAAAGCAGTTTCTCGTAAGACTCCTGGTGCATCAGCCTGTGGCTGAGCCAGAAAGAAACCACAAAAACAATTGCTCTCCTCGCTGTGTGGCTACTACAAATCCCAGGTGGAACCTCAAAATGAAATGTGTGTGTGTGTCAAAACATCGCAGGGCTTTCCAAACCCTCTCTTTGGATGGAGCTGCAGACCCAAGCACATGATGAGGGTCAGAGAGTCGCTCTCTGCATTATACATTGTTCTCTCATCACCTTGGCTTGAATTGACCCAGTGACTCCATTTATTTAAGAGTATTTTAAAACATTTCTTATACATCTCAGATTCGAGCACCCAGGATCATGTATCGCTTTGGAACATCTTTAAGGAAACTTGAGAGCTTTTATATACTGTACTGAACAATGGATCTATTTCTTCATTGTTGTTCTGAGATTGATTTCTGCTGAACCAGAAATGCATAAACAGTGAGAAAAATTGGCTCTAAAAGGTCTTTAAAGCTAATTTATTTTCAAGGCTTGCTTAAGGAGGGGGATTATTCTATTCTCACCTTTTAGAAAGCCATAGTAACAAAGGTAGTTTAACAACAGTAACACAAGAGGCATACGTAAGGGAAGAGCCCAGCAAGATGTCCCAATCCTGTTTTTATTTTGGGGTGAATATCATCCCTTTTGTGAATTTTATGAACTACTCAAGTCCATTTTAAACCCTAGCCTGTAGTTTTAAGAACATGGAATAGTTCTCATCTTGCAGCAAAATATCTTGGAGAGAACAAGTAAAAATCCTGAAGCACTGGAGGAAAAACCAACAAGAGGAAAGAGCTATTTATGTTTTGGGGGAAGATATGAGTGGATGAAAAGTTGGGAGATAGCACCAAAATTACACAGGGTTAACAAATGCATTTACGCCAAGGATTCTTGTTGTCTTCCTCTCTGAAATATCCAGCAAACTGCTGGCACTACATGAAACCAGAAGTAAGACTGAGGCCGAAAGGACGAAGACTCTGCTGAAATTGAAGTCTTGTTAAATGTTTTCCAGGGTTTGTGAGAGCTATTTCCCTTCCACCTGCTGACCAAACAGGATAGCAGTAAAATACTTCCTCTTAGTGACTCAGAAATCTGTCGGAGGTGATGAGGCCCGATGGGAGCTTGATGATGTCTTAAATAGCAATTTGCTTTTCGCCTCTTGGCAAGCGGTGTTCTCCAGACTGGGTAACACAAGCTGCATTTCCAGGCTATGGAAATGGGAACCAAGGAATATCTGTTGTTGGTTGGTTTGCTCCCAGAAGGTGTCTGTCAGGCATCTACAGCTCAGTGCGATTTGAGACGTACAGAAAAAGAGGCAAAAAATCAGAAGCTCTCAGTGATGCACTACTTATTAGAGGCTGAAAATTACTCATTAAAGCTCATAGTCCCATATTACTGCTAAGAACATGGTCTCTCCTCTGCTGCATGGAATGAGGGCTTTATTTCAAAAGTTATTTTGGATTTTTCCATTTCATGGTATTGAAAGACAAGGGGTCCCCAGCCCTAGGAGCAGACATCTCCCTACAAATGGTCCAACACTGGCCTGTTGAAGTAATGTGCTCAAATCTATTTCCACAGGGCAAATCATGGGTTTCTATGGCCCATGCAATGCTGTCCTCAAGGTAGCTCTTTATCTATGCTGATTGCTCTCAAAGAACACTGCTCTCCTCCAGCTGACAGCCAGAAAGCCAAGAGGCTCAAGTAAATCTCAGTTGGACTTTGTCTGGTTTTATTTCCCAGCCATAGAAGCAAGACAACAACGGAAGATTAAAGTGAATTATTATATGCTATGGGTTTCGGAAACATCCTTTTGCTTCCTTCCTAGGTCATGCACAGTCCTGTGGTTTGCAACTGCAGGCTCTGCTCCTGTTTTCAGTTGGTAGCTTTCCATTCACATCGCACCGAGCTGCTTCACCGAACGGAACGTGTTCCCCAGTGTGTTTGTAAGGGGAAATGATTAACTTAAACCATCTATAGAAGGCAACACTTCCTATTTAAAGACAAAGCTGAGTGGGAAAAATGGCTTTGGTGGTTTCAGATAAAATATGCTGCACTTTTTCCTAAAACTCTCTGGTGTTTTCCATGAAGAGCAGTTTCTGCAGGAGAAGATCTGCCACCTTGCTGAAAGTAATCGCTTTTCAAAGCGACCATATCCACTGCTTCTACGCTTGAAATAAACCCCTATGCAACCAATAGAAATACTGATTTCTGATAACTCCAACTTTGGTTGGAGTGCTAAATTAAAGCATAAACTGAAGATCTAGTAAATGAAAGAAACTGGATATTTAGCTACACAGCTATTAGCATTGGGTTTGTATTTTAACAGATAATCTAAACCCAAGGTGACACCCATGAAAGGTCAGACTCAAAATGCTTTCTTTATGCTTTCTTTTGTTTCAGAAGCATGTTCAGGACTGAGCCATCTATTTGAAATGTCCTCCCAGCTCTCCACCCCTGCAGGAGATTTTAAACAAAGGTTAAAGAAGGAAAGAAACAGCATAAGCAAATTTCAAGGGACAAGATTAATCACTGCACATCGGTAGGTTTTTTTCCCCACTCTGCTAATAATCTACACTGAAATGTTTGTGCTGTGTTTTCACTGTACTGAAATGTGCCAGCAGACTCTCACTGAAGTGATCCAAAGGCATCTGAGCAGTTCTTAACTCACTGCTGGCTTCAGAAGCCAAATTAAACCAGTCCTTGCCCAGCAGGGTCGCATTTGTTAGCAGATTTTACAGTGGAGATGCTGGCTTTCTTTTCCCAAGTCATCAGTTTGCCCGTTCCATAACACTTCCAGGAAGGGGGAGTTTTCTTCAGGCATCTGCCTTGTGGGGTATTCAGGGAAAGGGCTCAAAATTCATAGCAGGAGGTTTCAAAGGCAGTGCCCTGACTTGGGGCACATGGAAGTGAACATGATGTCTAGGGTGAAGCTGTTTGGGTCCATACGTGGAACAATCTGTCTCCCTATAAACAAGAAGAAATGTTTTCAGTTTGCAGATTCCCAGTTTACATAGCATGGAAGTAACAGGGGGAAAGAGGAAAATCTAATGAATTCATAACAGCCCAGCTGGGCACGGTATCCAGAGCTAAACCTGTCAGGCTCTGGACTGGGGAGGATGCTCGTTGGGAGAGCTGACAAGACTGCAGAACTATAGAGATTTACTGTATACCAAACTCATTCCTACGCTTGCTGAGCAAAGTTGCTGCCCCAGAGTAACTGCTCTCCAAAACATTTTCCATTGTGAATTCCAAGTCCTTTTTCTTGCCCAGATTCCATCATGACAAACAGCCCAAGGATTTACGTGCTGCTCACCTTGTGATGACTGCCTGATGTACAGGTTTTATGAAGACAAGAGTGAAGGAGTGCAGCCCCCCTTGGCAGTCACAGCAGAAGGCAACTGAGGACCAGCCCATCCTCTTCAAAACAGAGATGTCCAGGTCCTGGGAAAGAGGTGTTGCTTCGGCCCTTGGTCTGGAGGATCTGTTGTAAGAGTAGAGCAAGGACATGTCTTAGCTCAGGGCTAACAGTGACCAACCTCAAACTCACTAGATTTGGTTCAGGCACAATAAGAGGCATTTTCAGAAGTGTTACATCACTTCCTCGTGGTTGATACCAGACTTATAAAAGAGTAGATTTCAGGGAGGTTTGAAATTCTCATGCTCTTTTTGTGTGCAGGTGCCCCACATGAATGGTATCTATAGAAAAAACATTTACTCACTGTCAGTTCCTGATCTGCTGCTCAGCAGCCAGACCTGGCATGCCCAGAAGTCATCACTACCTTGCTGATGTAGATACTTAAAAGTGGAATTCATCTTGTCTGGCTTCAGGGTGTCTAAAAGCTACATGAGTAATTCTGGGCTCATGCCCTCCCTCCTTTTACACTCCTTGAAGAAAACCAGGCACCTCCACATTTCGCTCTGCCTGACTGTAGGCGAGGTCTGAGGGTGAGATGAACCTGTGCCTTGTCATAGGCTATAACCGGATCACAGATAATGAACCCAGGCTGAGGTGTCAGTGGCCTATTTATAGGATTTCAGTAGTAAATCAGGAAAATCATTTTGTCATAGCAATATAAATCCCAAAATAGCATCTCTGTACCGCTGCCCATCCCCATACCTCCCTTCTGCTGATAAAGATGGCATGGAAATGAGATGAGAGACAAGCAACAGAGGCTTCTGTGATAAACAGGCCTTAAAAAGATTGCAAATGGAAAAGAAAGATGTGGCTGTATTAAAGATCACAGGATAAACGAGCCATGAGTGTAACAAGAGCTGAAAATGGGAGGCAGATCCTAAGTTCAGGAGGGAAAAGGAATGTCCTTGCCTTGTGTGGGATACAGGGACCAGCCAGGATCTGGCCAGTGGAGCAGGTGCAGAGGAAGATGGGGGGCAAACTAAAATAGCTTTGTTTAGGCTAGGAAAAGGAGGAAAAGGCTAGGAAAAGGATTGCCTTCTATAAATAGTCCAAGTAAGCCCCCAGGGAAGGGAGATAATTATTTAAGCTAAAAGACAATGTTGGCCCCAAATCAAACTGGTTGTGAGTAAATAGAGGGTGGAAACATGAAGGAGGTTTCTGAGCATCACAGGAAAGATGTTCTGAAGCAACTTTCCAGTCACAGCAGGAACCTGAGCACTTCTAAATCCGTCAGAGCAGGAAATTGATCTCGGTGCCAAGATATCTTCCAGATCTACATACACATTACTCATGCTTTATTTAATCTTTATTTTGCCAATGACAAATTTTTGCCTTGCCTTAGAAAATAAGACTGGACAAAAACTTCCCAGACTGTATGGTTGATAGGTTGATCGAAGGCAGGTTCATTCATATTGATGGGTGTTGGGCTGGCATCAGTCGGCACATCCACAAGTGACATCTACAGTGTTCTAGTCCTCCACTGCCCTTATTATCATAACAGCTTCTTAATATGTTGGGTATTTTCGCTCATTATCTTGCCTTATCTCTCTCTCTGCAGTTTATGTACATCATTAGGCTAATGGAACACTGCAAGAATGATGGGAAGTTTTGGCCTGGGAAAAAATGCCATTAAATCTCTTTAGGAGAAACCTCAGTCAACAAAAACTATGGAAACAAAACCAAACCAGGACTGGTGCCTGGGTTTGAATATGGCCACTCAGCAAACAGGGAAACTGAGGAAACTGGGGTCAAATTTCCTTCCTCTGTTTAGCCCTTTCACATAGCCTTATACAGAGAAATTTGATAGTGATAGAGGAAAACCCCACATTCCCATGGAAACTTTGGTGCACACTTTCCAGCAGCAGTGCATAAGAATGGACCAGAATGGTTCTTCTTTAGGGATTAGCCTCATACAATCCTTTGGCTTAGCTCTTAGTAAAAAACATATTCCAGCCCAATTTGCACACAGTTACTTTCTCAGTGTCAGAGTTTTACCAAACTACTTTCTTTTTTTCCCCCTTTATATCTGAGGCAAATAACTGTGCAAGACAGGCACTAGCTTTCTAAGGAGTGAATCCATTGGTCAAAAGGGTTTCCTTGCTGTATGGATGAGATTTCTACCGCTTGTCCCTAAAGCAAATAACTGATTGTATAAAAACTATTCAGATTTAAATAGGAATTCTTATAATGGAAGGAGAGATACAGAATGTTCTTTTTCTGTTCTCTTTCTGCTTCTGAAAAGATCAGATTCACGCTTACCTTCTAACGTAATCTACTCTAATCTCGAGTCATCCACCACTGAATTGACCAGAGTACAGGAAAGCAAGAAACCAGCTTTTTCACAGCTGAAAATGGGTCAACCATGCACCTCAACCCTTTAAATGAAGTAAAAGCAAGGCTGAGATGGGGAAGGGAGTAAGGTTTTGTTAATAGAAGCAGGCTGTGACCCACGCTTACCTTGATGGATAGGAATAACCCTGTGCTCTGAACTAGATGGGTAAATACAACCTCTGCCAGGTACACCATCATCCACTTTCCTCATATATCATGTCTGAACTTTCATACCCCGTCGCACATCAGTGGGTGGTTATCGAAGGATGATGTACAACCTCTCTGCTTCGGAAATTGTCTATTTAATAGAAGCTCCTGCTGTGTCTCAACAGTTGCATTAGGAACCCTGTCTATCTCCCATGTTCTAAAAAAAGCCATTCGTGAAAGCAGGCGAGCACAAGAGCTGAGTAAACTTGGACACAGCTCCCAGCCAAATTATGAGCATGCTGCCAAACATGGAGAAAAGTGCATCTGATTCTTCTGCTAAGGCGTCCAAGGAGGGCCACAAAATTACAGTTGAAACTATAAACAGAATGAGTACATTTTGTTCATTTTCCTGTTCTCTTTGTAATCGATGCAATATGAAGAGCTGCTATCAGTAGAGTTATACAATCAGATGGTGGCAATAAAAGGAGCGTTAGCAAGCCTAGGATGTCATAGGAGGTTGACTGAAGGAAGCAGTTATAAACCAAGACCATTTATATCTATTTAGATGAGAACACCAGTTTTGTGACAAAGTCATTTTGATGTCTGTCTGCCCACTTAATACTCAACTGATGGATGTCTGCATCCTGATCTACAGTGGTTGCCTGGAGAAAGATCAGTACCAAGGATTATACATGCACAGACACGTCTCTTTGTGCACCTTGAATAAGATGTGTGTTATATATAGTCACAACATATCCATGTATAAGTGAGTTCATCTGATGTACACAGTATTATGCATATGCACAACAGCATCATCGTCGTCCTGTTTACAGTTTCCTCATTCTATTAGACTCATGGATGGTTTTTCTTATTGTCATGTTAACACAAATGGGACTGCAGGTTCACAGCCTCACAAATCTGTGGCGTGAGGAATACAGTGAGTATAAGACAGGCGTCTCCAGCAGCTGTCAGCAGGGAGCCTTTACTGGAGCATCTTTTGTTCTTTGGCATCTGAAAAGGTCCTGGTTCTCAGATGGTCTTCAGGCTTGTTTTCTTCTCTTACAGCCATTGCTCTGGTATCTGCAGAATGCACTTGGAAAAATCTAGGGACTATCAAAATGAGAGCTGTAAAGCTCTAAAAACAAACAGACATTTCACCTGTCTCTAATCAGCCCCATCTCATGGTTTGGCTTTGATTTCCCCAGTGCAGAAAAGAAACGTATAGGATTTTAATTTCCTTGGCTCCCAAGAGCAGTATGAATGAGACTGCAGCATTGCGTTCGGCTTGTGTTATTAATGGGCTCCATGCTTGCAAATGTCTCATTCAATATATTTGCTGAAAGTGCTTCCAAAAAAGGGGGAGAAAAAGAAGAAAGAAAACATCAGGTTTCTAGGTCTAATGTATGTGACCTGACAGCATGAATACATTAGATCTTCTACAGAAACATACAATTCCAGCACTGTGCATCGGATCTCTAGCCTTTTTATCTCCATCTGGACCCTAATCAGTGTGCTCGCATACTGCCTGGAAATAAGCCTTATTTTCCTGCCATTCTGGCTCAGACTTTCTCCCCATTTGAAAGGGTATGACATGCCTTCTTACAGTCACTGTAAGCTGGGAATGTTTCTGATCTCTTTGTTCAAGCATCCCAAGCATCTTCCGTGTTTTCTTTTTCGCTGAGTTGCTTAGTCCCCTTATGCCAGATACTCTACAGGCACAAGGCAGCATGGCTCTGCTGAAGGCTGTATGCTCATGTCTCTCTGCTGAGGATCTCGTGCGTCATTTTCCAGTCCTAAAGAAGGTACAGTTCAATAATCCTAAATTGAGACCTAGGAGATCTCAGTTGTCTTCCAAAACTTCAAGCAGGTCATGGCATTTCCCCACTTCATGTCTGGTTTTTCCTTCCCATGCTCTGGCTTATCTGCAAACCTTTAAGTTCTTAAAAGGAAGAGCTGGTTTTTATTATGCATCTGGACAGTGTCTAACACAAGAGGGCCCCAGTTTGATTAGGGTCTCTTGTGACTACCGTAATGCAAATACTGCTAATAAAATGCATTTGAACCAGAAAAAAGGCAGTGATGCTTCTTTTCCAGTTAGCTCTTTCCTTGGGAAAGTCTGGGAGAGGTGGGATTCTCAGCCAGAGGCTGGGTGGCCCAACTTGACCCATCCTGGCATAGATAACCCTTTGAGCTGCACTTGCAGTGTTGCAAACCAAACTGTGCTCGCCTGTGCGATGCCTCCCTGTGCCTGGAGTGCTTTGCGCATCCAAATGTGCCATATATTTGCCTTCCCAAAGCAGAGCCTGCTTCTGTTAACAGCAATTAATCACTTTATAGCCAGTCTTTTATTAGTATGAACACAGCAGATGTGTTTCCATTAATAGGTCCCCAAGTGAGCCTTATCCAGCATCAGTGACACTTAATGAAGGAGATTATGCGGCCTAAATAGAGTTTTCATTTTCAGTGTCTTCCCACTCCTATCTGCACTACCAAGTAAGCAAACAAAACGCAGTGGAAATCTTGTTCAGGGCTCAGTTACAGTACATAGGATAAACTTGCTGCCAAATATTAAGATGTGTGATTAACAGCTAAAACTTGCATCAGTATTTTTACAAGGATCTGAAACAAAACACTAAAAACAAGCATGTAGCAGTCTTCAAACTGTAGTGGTAATTCCAAGCTCTCCACTTCCCCAATTAACCTCAATATTTGAGCAACGAGAGGGCAGGCAGCTGCTCCCTGGGAATGTGTCTGTCTCCAGAATATCGTTCAATCTCAGGGAACTTTTCAAGCGTGCTGGTTGCCATTAAAAAGTCATCACTTCCAACAGTGGCTGAGACCTAGCAAGTCATTGGGTGCTTATGAAAGAGTATCTAACTAGTAATTATGAGGGTAATCATGAGGGTTACCGAGCTGTGGCACATGAGGTTTGTCCACATGAGCCAGCCACATCCATGAGTGCACGGTCAGGTCTGAGGGGATGGGCTGTGCATGAAGTGCACAGCATCCTGCTCAAGGAAGATGCTCATCCCTCCGCTGAGCTCTGGAGGCATCCCAGGTTGTTCCCCACCATCCCAATGGGCATCACTGAACATGGACCTGTCCCTGATGTACCACCCTGGGGCTGCTCAACACTTTCCATCTCCTCTGAAACAATCAGCAGTTAAATCTCTGCTGACATGGAGCCTCTGGCTTTTCTCTTCCTTAACAGCAAAAAAGCATGGGTAGCAGGCACAGGGCATGGATGCTCTTCCACACCATGAGATGTGTTGTGAATAGGATGTTTTCCAAAGTGTTTCCTTTGGAGGGTCACACTCTGCCATAACTTCTGCTCCCCTAAATTACTTCTTGAACCAGACCCCATCTACTCAAATGGCTTCCTACCCATTTTCAGCTCTGAATTGTCTGAGGGTGATTCAATTTTAGTCTAACTTAGATCTTAAAAGCAGATAGTCAAGGGGCTACACTGCCTCCTTATTCCCAGCACAGTAAATAGAGGAGGCAGCTCCTTGTGTAATACAGACAGGAACAATCCTGTGCATTTCAAATAAGTCCTCCAGGATTCATAAGGAGCACCTCCACTGTATAAATGTGCCATATAATTTTAAAATCCAGAAAGATCGTCTCATAAATTCTATACATCTGTCTTCCACTGGTCTGTGCAGTAAAGGATATTAAAATATGTCATGTCTGCAGTATGGAGCCACTGGAGAGGGAGTTCGGTCACTCAGGGTGCAGTATTTAGCCATTAGATAGTGACAAACTGACCTCACTCCTATAGGAAAGGTGGGAGTGTGATCACGTTTAAAAGCACAGGGTATTCTATAGACCACTTTAACCCATGAGCGTGTTTTCAGTCCCTGCACCAAATGCTTGAGGTCTGACAGAATGGAAAAACGATGAACTTTGTTTCTCCACACATCAAAACAGCTTTACCCTTCAAAAGATGCAGATAATTAAGGAATGATCACCCTTAACTGTGGCCCTTTAAAACAAAACAAAACAAAGTGTGGCGTTTTTAATTAAAGCCTAATTAATCTGAATAAAGTGAGGAAATCACATCTGGGCCGTTGCTGCTCTGCAGCTCCTAACCACAGCATGCGTGAGGTTATGTCAAGGACTTGCTTGTCAGCTTTGCTTTAACTCACATATGGGACTGGGTATGAAAGAAAACCCTAGAGTTTTTACTTTCTACAGTAAAAGCCAAACTAACATAAAATGAGATTAATGGCAACAGCAGTGACTGCTTTCATTTCCCAATGAACTCTCTCAATAGTACCAGTAATCAAGATCAGGTTGGGTTTTTCTTCCTTTGTTTGTTGGTTTTTTGTTTTTTTTTTTTCATTTTAAAAAAACACCAACTTTTCATCAGAGAAAAGAAAAAGAAATACTTAAAATATATAGACACATCTGTTCTCCCATATTAACAGCATTACATCTTTCTCCATGTGATGCACAATGAATCATCTCAGTGTGTTTTGCTTTATAGTTTTGTACAAATCCAATTCCTTATGACTATTATTGTAATAATAATATTTTCCAATTCAACAGTACCTTTCGTTTTGAGTTTCTCAGGGCAAGAAACTGTTGACAAGAAGTGAGTTGGACCTATTGAAACAGCTAGGAAAAACTGAGACACAGCTGTAATTACCAGAGTTAGAATTTGTCTTATAATGGGGAGAAGATAAGAGTGCAAATAATATTTTCGTATGCAGACATATAATTTTCACTACATTTCGGTTAAATGAGCAAGTGTTGTAATCTTCATTTTTAATGCTTAGAAAAGCAAGCCTTGGAGCACCTTACAGATGCTTTTGACTGGCTTTTTGCCTTCTTAAGAAGAATTAAATCACATCCATGGCACACACTGAGCAGGGGAGATTTCACATTGAAGCAATGAATACAGGGCAGAGGTCCTGCAGCCCATCCATCTTTTGAAGAGATGATGCTGAGGCTTTAGCAGAGCTAAGTGAACATCCAGCATCCTGCATTCTCCTCTGCTTCTAATAGAATGCCCTCAGGAAGCATGTTTGTCTCTATGGGCTTCACTCAGTATACCTATGGATTTTACTTATGTTCCTCATGGAACAAAATGACCTTCAGTTTTCTTTTCCTTCCCAAAGGCTACTTGAAAATGTAATCTCAGCTAACTTTTTACCCAATGAATTAGTAAAACTGCAGTAAACCCCAGTTCAGCCACTCTGGATTAGTGGGGATTAATGCCCACAAGTAGGTACCAAAACTGTATCTACATCCTTCCAGTCAATGGAAAACCACTAAAGTTAGACACCTACATGGGTTATATAGGCATCATTAATCTAATGTGGCAGCAGCAATTAACAGTTCCTTGAAAGATATTGATCCTGATACTTTTGACCACGTGTCTTAAATGCTGCATGAGGGCAAAAGTCTTGTTTGTGTTTGCTACCAACATCCAATGGGAAACGAAGGAATGTTTTCTGCAGCAAGGAATGATAATGATGGTTCTTTATATAAAAAAAAAAAAAGAGAAGAGAAGAAAGGGCAAGAATACTTGATTCAATTAAGTCTTAGTCATGTAAATAGTTGGGAGTTTCCAGAAAGTAATGTCTTTATAGCAGGATGCCAATGTAGTGTATAATTAAAATGTAAAAAATGTAGGAAGGTGGCCAAGCCTTTGATTATAAACAAGATTTTCCTAACCCACCCATGACTTGGCATTTTGATCCTGAAATTTATCAACAGGAAAAGGTGATGATTTCTTTTTTTGGACTGGAATGGAAAATAAGTTAGTTTGTAGAGAAATAAATCTTGTTCACAAACTTCACTTGCTCCTT